GCCATCGCTCGGGCGTCCATTCCCCATGCATTGTTGGGTCTCGTGCGCGTCGTTGTTCTCAAGATGCTCCAAAATGGTGCAGAGTTTCTGGCGCTGGCCTCGCCAGGGAAAACTGCACACGTTCGCGCGATGCCCAGTCTTTTCTTGCGAAGGCAGGCAACCCACCCTCAGAATAAGAACCCCGACAAGCGAAACCGTTGCTTTTAGTAAACGCGCCCGAGGAAGGAATCGAAGAGGGCTGGGCTGTTTAGTAAGCGACCAGGGCCGCGCAGTAAATGCCACTCACCTCCAGGGTCCAAGTGGGTGCTCCTCCCTATGTTCGGCGGTTCAAAGATTGGGTCGTGAAGGATGGAGGCCTAAGGACGAGGTGCCTCAGACAATGTAAATTCACCCTTTGGCCCATTCCCATCCTCATGACCCCATCCGTCAAGGCCGCCCCAACTCTGAACAGCCGACTGATTCTTCGAGTAAGGGATCGACTGCAGAATCGATGTGCCCCAAAATGGATTCCTCCGGCCGCATCCACGAAAAAACTTTGCGGATTCGACCGGGAAAATCTATTTGGGGGCAGATCCATGCTGCAGTCGATCCCCGACGCGAATCCTTCGAAGCCGACGACGCCAGCGCGCGGCGACGGACGACCCACCGACCGAGTCACGGCGGCCGACTCCCCGCCCCCCCGGGCGGCACCCGGTCGACGCCATGGCCAGCGCCCAGCTGCCCAGCGCCTCCAGGGCCCCCGCGTGCCGGCAGGAGGCGCGCCCGAGGGCGTTCGCCGCGATGCCGACGGACCTGCCCGCCGCCGCCGCGGGGCGACGGCCTTCGTCCGTCGCCGCTCGAGGGCCGTCTGGTGCCGAGTCTGCGGTGGTGGGCGGGTCCCCTGCAGGCAGGGGCTGGACCCAATCGCTGCTGTTCGTCTCGTGCTCGTTTTTTGTCTCTCGCTTGGCTCCACCTGTTTTCCTGTGCCTCCCTGCCAAAAAAAAACACAACACAGCTGAAGTCCAGCAAAGCAACGTTTAGGTCCAGCCCTGGCTCCGTAAGGTCGGACGGCAATGCATCCCTGGCTTGTCCGCGCACGGCAGGCGTGCGTTGGCCCGGCTCTCTGCGGGCAAGCTCCCTGCTGACCTCCAGGCCCTTCGTGGCCGTCGGTCGCCGCTCGTCGTCGGTCCTTCGTCGTTCGTCGCTCGCCGTCGCCCATCGTCGTCGTTGATCGTCGTCGGTCGTCGTAGACGTCGTTCGTCGACGTCCTTCGTCGTCTACGTCATTCGTGCTTCGTTTAGTCGTCGCTAGGCGCCGCCGTCGTGCTTGTCGGAGTCGTCGGAGGAGGGTAAGCAGCGGGAGGGATCATGACAGGGAGCAAGTCAAACCCCGCCATGAAAGGCCAATCTCAAGACAAGGGTGAGGACGAGCGGGACAAGGATGCGGACAAGGAAAACAAGGACGAGAGGGACCAGGAGGAGGAGGAGGAGGAAGAGGAGGAAGATGAGGAGCAGGAAGAGCCGGTTGGCGAGGCGGAGGAGGACCAACACGAATTGCAGGCTCCAGTCTCGCATCCAATGCGTCTGAAATTGTGTTCGACCGACGGAGGTCTCGTCTGGCCGCATCCCTCGCGAAGCGATGTGCATCCACGGCGGACTGCGACGGAGGAGGATGCCAGAGGTCGGCTAAGGATTTGCGCTAATGGTAACTGCCCCCGTTGACCTGCCTGGCGGGTAACGCAACGTATGTCGGCCTGTTTTCCCCTCGACCGAACTTTCGCGCCACTCTCGTTCCTGGCCTCAAGACGGCCGCAGAAGGCCTCAAGACGGCCGTTGAAGGCCCCAAGACGACTCCAAGACTGCCCCAGGATGTCACAAGAGCGCCACAGATGTCTCAAGAGGGCACGGAGATGTCCCAACAGAGGGCCCAAGCACGCCTCCACGGCGGCCCAAGACAACCCCACAGGGTCCCAAGAGGACTCCATACGGTCAAGCTTGATGATGAACACGCATTGACTTGTTCAACGAGTTTTGGCTTACAAGCGTTTCGGCTCAAGATGGGTTCAAGAGGGCCTCGAAGAATTTCCGAGTTTTCAGTGCTCTTTGAAGTTAAAACCGGTGTCTTCGGAGGCCCAAGAGGAGAAGACCTAAGCATATCCAAAAGACCCAGGACATCCTCCCTCCTGCTGCGGGACCACGCTGCTGCGACGCCAGCGTTGGCCTATGACTCACGGTCGACTGTCTAACACTTTGCGATCGAGACTTTCCGATAGCGATGATCGTTCGATTTCGGCCGACTCCGGGCCGCTGGCGGCGTTCCAACCTGAGCGCCCGCGCAGAGGTCGCCGTCGCGTCACCGCGGCGCGAACCTGCCGCACTGATCGGCTCTCCTCCGCGGGCAGAGGCTGCCCCCCTCGGGACTGGGCGTCCGGGTCGACGAAGACGTCCGGCAGCGCGTCGGCGAAGGAGCGCCAGATCCCGGCGTCCACGATCCTGGCGTGCGCGCAGTGGTTCAGGATCATGGAGACCTCTCCCTCTTTCCTCCTCCTCCTCCTCCTCCCTCCTCCTCCTCCTCCTCCCTCCTCCCTCCTCCTCCTGCTCCTATGGTTGCGTGATCATCGACCCCGCCCATGTTGGACATACGCTGACAATGTGTTTCCGCTATGTTGTTGACTACGGGCCCCGCGTCTGCATCGAAGAGCAAGGGGCCCAGGAAGAGGCATGGTACCCTTTGACAAAGACCTTGCTCCGATATGTGGCCGCCGCGATCGCCGTGGCGCCTTCCAAAACTGACCCGGAGGTTTAGTCTGGGGTCGGATATCTCGAAAAGGAGGTCGACTACAAAATTGATTTGCCCCAAACTTGGAATTTTCGCCAGATGGAAAACATTATACATAATGTTCGTAGATCGACGAACCTCATACGCACTGTTCTAATAGATTCGACGAGAATCTGTGAACAGTCTACAAACCTTCTACGAACAGTATACGCACTTTTCGGGGTAAATCAATTATGTAATCGACCTCCTAGTCGAATATCGTGCAACGGCTCTCCCTCTCTCCCTCTTGCGGGCCCGGTGAGTCTACCTCTCACCACCCACTGCCGCCACTCTACGACCAAAGGCGGCTGAACTGCGGTACAGCCTGCCGCGCGCTGTCGCCAGCCTCGCCCAGCAAACCACTGCCACAGGTCCGCCGCCCATGGTCCACATGGGGAAACCTAAAGATACCAAAATTGCGAATAAAAACGAGGGGGCGGGCCAAGGTGGGTCGCGGGTGGGTCGCGCGGTGGGTCGCGGGTGGGTCGCGGGGTGGGTCGCGGATGGGTTGCGGGTGGGTCGCGGGTGGGTCGCGGGTGGGTCGCGAGCGGGTCGCGGGGTGGGTCGCGGGTGGGTCGCGGGCCGGGTCGCGGGCGGGACGACGACAACAAACAACAACTACCTTACAACAAAACAACGACAGCTGCAGCCACGACAACAACAATCTCAACATCATCAAAAACAATAGCAACAACAACAGCAGCATGCACAACAACAATACCAGCACCAACAAACATAACAACAACAACAACAACAACAACAACAACAACAACAACAACAACAACAACAACAACAACAACAACAACAACAACAACAACAACAACAACAACAACATTTTAACACCGTTCGCTCCTATCTGCTCGCGCGCCACGCAACACGTAGATTCCAAGCCTGGGGTGCCCGCCGTCGTCGTCTTCGATCGTACCTCTTGGGGATCTTCATATATATATATATATATATATATATATATACAAATGTGTGTATATGTGTGTATATATACATATATATATATATATATATATATATAGGAATAACTATCAGAGTGAGGGGGCCGGACGGTCATTAATTGCCCCTGGGTGCGCGGCTTAAAAGCGGATCCGTGATGAACATGATGTTTGTTGTTGTTGCTATTGCTGCTGTTGTTGATTGTTGTCGCCGTCCCTCCCGCGACCCGGCCCGCGACCCGGCCCGCGACCCACCCGCGACCCACCCCGCGACCCGCTCGCGATCCACCCGCGACCCACCCGCGACCCACCCGCGACCCACCCGCGACCCACCCGCGACCCACCCGCGACCCACCTGCGACCCAACCCGCGACCCACCCACATTGTTTGAACAAGAAACCGGCGCCTGAGGCGGGCTTGTTGTATAGCTTGAAATGTTTGCGCCTGCGGCGGGATTGTTAGAGCCTCGCAGACTGCAGACATCCCCGCCGCCCCCTCACTCTTATCCGCAACTGCGGGGTGTTACGTATTCCTTGCCTGCCACGCGCGTTTAATGCAGCCCCTGAAACAGGGGAAGAAAGGACGGGTGGAAGGGGGGGAAATGGAGCGCGAGAGAAGTTAACAAGGGGGGGGCCAGGAAGGGGGGGGGGAGAGGGGGGGGGGGGGGGGGGGGGGGGGGGGGGGGGGGGGGGGGGGGGGGGGGGGGGGGGGGGGGGGGGGGGGGTGGGGGGGGAGGGGCGAAACGCAGAAAACAAATGGTAGAATCAAACCTGTAAGTCGGGTGGGCAAACTCATATCGGGCAGGCCGGGAGGGCGGGCCCAGGCGACGTGGTCGAGCAGGCGGGTTGCCGAAGCGCGGGTCCTGCGTGAATCGTGGCGAAATCTCGAGCGATAGCGCGATCCCCTAGTAAATCGCTGGAAAAGGCCACGGCGAGAGTGTGATTCCTGAGCGCCGAAGACGCATCGCCTGAATAAATCGCAACGCGGCCCCGCGCGAGAGCGCGATGCGCACGTGAATTGCGAGGAAATCCCGCGCGAGAGCGCGATTTGGGAAGCATCAGGCGGGAGCCGCTGTTGCCGTCGCTTTAGGGGGCCCCTCGAACGCCCCACCCCCCACCCCTCCTCATGCCGCGCTCTCCCGCGCCCCTGCCTCCATTTCTCACCTAGGTCGGCTTGCGCGTCGTGGCTTTTCCTGCGCAATTCCCGAGTCTGTCCCCGCGTCTCTTCGACAGAGAGTTCCCTGAGCTGCGCGCGCGAAGGACTTGCGTGGCAAACATAACCCAGCTGCATGAAATCTGCAGGCGCCTTTCGATCGAAAATACCTGGGCTGCGGTTGCCACGACGACGCAAGCTGGGCGGGCGCTCCGAAATCGTTCAGGAGCGGCGCGGGCCACGCGAATTAGACGCGGCTGGACAGCGCTGCCTCTGTCGGGAAAACTCCGGCGCCCGTGCGCCCCAGCGACCTCGCGCCGCTGGCAAGATCCATTGGCGTTCCAGGGCGCGGCCGCGTTTCCGTGGCCATGGGCTCATCGAGCTTCTGGAGGGCTTTAAGCACAGACGGAAGCGGGCCCTTCAGCGAGACCTCCCTTGGAGGCGGCAGAAGCTAAATCATATCGTCCGCATCGCGTACAGGTGCCGCCACCAGTTATCCGCTTTTTCCTCCAGCTTGCCTCGCGTTCTGCGAGCAGTCGATGGTCATCCCGGTGCGGATCGTCTGGCCCTGTGACGTGGTGGACATCAGGAAGCGCCCGTGCGTGAGCGCGTACCCAAACCTTCTGACAAGGCGCACACTGTTGGCGCTTTGCCCCTTGAAGTGCGCCTCCATTAGCGGAAGCAGAAAAGGCCGTTCGCCATCTCTTCCTGGATACCCACAGAATTGACGAGGGCTCCCACCACGTCCAGGTTTTGCTTCTCGAACTTGTGTACCTGCATCCAAAATCCGGCAGGCACACAGCGCGGGCGGTGTGGATAATGTGCCACGCCTGCAACGCCCTGGGACCCTGGCGCGCGTAGCAACCCCACCCTGTGCGCACCCTCCCGGTATGGAGAATGTGCCACGCCTGCCACGCACTGGGGTCCTGGCACGCATAGCGGCACCACTCCCTGCGCACCCCCTGCGGTGTGGAAAATATACAACGCATGCCACGCACTGGGACCCTGGCGCGCATAGCGACCCCAACCCCTGCGCACCTCCTGCGGTGTGGGGAATGTGCCACGCCTGCCACGCACTGGGGCCATGACGCGCATAGGGACCCCTCCCCCTTCACACCCCCTGCGGTGTGGAGAATGTGCCACGCCTGCCACGCACTGGGGTCCTGGCGCGCATAGCGAACCCACCCCCTGCGCACCTTCTGCGGTGTGGAGAATGTGCCACGCCTGCCACGCACTGGGACCCTGGCACGCATAACGACCCCACTCCGTGCGCACCCCCAGCGGTGTGGTGAATGTACCACGCATGCCACGCACGGGGACCCTGGCGCGCATAGCGACCCCATCCCTTTGCGCACCCCTGCGGTGTGGAAAATGTGTCACGCATGCCACGCACTGGGACCGTGGCGCGCATAACGACCCCGACCCGTGCGCACCCCCGGCGGTGTGGAGGATGTACCACGCCTGCTACGCCATGGGGCCCTGGCGCGCATAACGACCCCACCCACTGCACAATTTTTGCGGTGTGGAGGATGTGCCACGCCTGCCACGCCCTGGGGCCCTGGCGCGTATAGCAACCTCACCCCCTGCGCACCCCCTTCGGTATAGAAAGTGCGCCACGCCTGCCACGCACCAGGGGCCCTGGCACCCATAGCGACCCGAAACCCGTGCGCACCCCCTGCGGTGTGGAGAATGTGCCACACGCGCCACGCACTGGGACCTGGCACGTGTAGCAACCCCACCCCCACCCTGTGAGCTGAGCACACCCTGCTCGCCTGCGTCGCCTGCCACGCCCTGCGAATGTTGAGCGCATGTGTTGCGTGGTGTGCGTGTCATGTGTATGATGCGTGTGCGGCCGTACGGTGACGTGTCTCATGTGGGTGCCCAGTATGTAACGCATACGTCGCGAATGTATGGTACAGTGAACACGTCAGGCGTGCACTGGCTTTTGTATGGCGTGTGTGTGTGCGCGAGCAGGTGCATGCGTGCGGTTGAATGTAGATGCGCGTCTCATGTTCGTGGCGTTCATGTGTCGGGAAGAGGGAGGAGGGAGGGGTGTGCGGGAGACCTGGGTGCGACGCGGCAGGGCAAAAAAAAAAAAAACACGAAACACATGGGGAAAAATATCCAATCCGCACCGCGGAAACCCGCTACAACCACTCACCCAAGGACAACGCATGACCGTTCAGCGTTCGTCCCCTTCGCTCTGACCGAAGCCGCTGCGCCCCGGACCTTCCCCAGGGTGCCATCTGACCAGCACTTCGAGGCCAGTCCAGCCGTGGCGCCCCGGGCGAGCCCCCGAAGAGGGCGAGGCGCCCAGGGCGAAAACGAAGGAACGGCAGCAAAATCGGTACCCTTGTCTGTTTCCTCTGAGTGCATTGGCGGCCGCGAGATCCAGCCCTCGGAACCCGCCTGCCCTCGCGGGCCGCGCCCCACGGTGCGCTGTCGTCGTGGAGTCCTCCCGCCGCCGCCCCGCGGGCCCAGGCCGCCGCGTGCGAAGCGCGACTGTTTTCGAACCCGCCCCGGTTGACGGAACACAAGCTGTTGGCTGCAGCGGCACGGATCCACGCCGCGGTCGAAGACAGCCGAAGGACACTACGGGGCACGGTTG